GTAAAAGCCTCTCAGTCCCCCCGGGGTCTTGCCACTGGTGTGAGTCGGTATCACATGGTGTATGCTTTCTCTCTGCTGCGACCCTTGGCTCGAGCTGCACGAGGATTGTGCTGCATAACTGTAATAGCTAGGTGATTAATAACTGTCCGAGATTTTGACACGGTTGTCATGTGTGACGGTGGCTGAAGGGGCACGCTTTTTGTACTGGGGATCTTTAGCACGATTTACTTCAATCTTGGGCGTGTAAGGTTGATATGCCCAGCTGGAAGAATAGTGTTTATGTTTTAGAGACTCCCGTGATGCATGTTTCTTTTCCTGCGATGCACAGGGCGAGGTAGGGCTATAGTGACTACTCTCCCTCGATAAATGCGTCTTTTGTCCTGTGAACTTTCTGACCTGTGACGTGTATGTAAATGGGACTTTTGTTTACTATCTGAATCATGTGATCTAGGCCTGGTCGTATCCTTTAGATTTGCATGTTGTTTTAGCTTATTTATATCCTGTGATATAGCTTGGAAACGTTTGATGAACATTTCGGACAAGGTTGTGGTCAATGATTGAGATCATAAGGAATAGGTTTGGGCTCAGATGTTTCTCTAAAACCTTGAGTGACCAAACTACCCAAAGCACCCAGGCATAAGACGGCCCCATGACCAGAGCTGGATGCCTGCTCCTTAGTTTTGGGCGGGTGAGTTGAGTAATGTGATTTATCCTCAACAGGAAAAAACGGGTTCTCTTTATACATCACCCCTTTGGAGGAGATTATTATTCATGAACTGAAACCATTTGTATCCGTTATACGACCACAATATTAGATCAGCTGTTTGATGTGCCGTCATCCATGTCACAACATGCAAAGTCAAACGGCACGCACCTGTCCAGACGACAAATTCACAGCAGCGGGAAATTGTCTCAAGCACTGTTGCAAATCGCCATGACACACAAAACTTCCATTGCCGATTAAACACCAACTGGGTATGAAAAGTGAAGGACCATAAATGGTCTCTTGACACAAAGAGTGTCAATGCCTCAGTCAACAACAGTGGCCTGTAGTCAGTAATATCACACCTATATAACAGTGGCCTGTAGTCAGTAATATCACACCTACATAACAGTGGCCTGTAGTCAGTAATATCACACCTATATAACAGTGGCCTGTAGTCAGTAATATCACACCTACATAACAGTGGCCTGTAGTCAGTAATATCACACCTACATAACAGTGGCCTGTAGTCAGTAATATCACACCTATATAACAGTGGCCGGTAGTCAGTAATATCACACCTATATAACAGTGGCCTGTAGTCAGTAATATCACACCTATATAATAGTGGCCTGTAGTCAATAATATCACACCTATATAACAGTGGCCGGTAGTCAGTAATATCACACCTATATAACAGTGGCCTGTAGTCAGTAATATCACACCTATATAACAGTGGCCTGTAGTCAGTAATATCACACCTATATAACAGTGGCTTGTAGTCAGTAATATCACACCTATATAACAGTGGCCTGTAGTCAGTAATATCACACCTATATAACAGTGGCCTGTAGTCAGTAATATCACACCTACATAACAGTGGCCTGTAGTCAGTAATATCACACCTACATAACAGTGGCCTGTAGTCAGTAATATCACACCTATATAACAGTGGCCTGTAGTCAGTAATATCACACCTATATAACAGTGGCTTGTAGTCAGTAATATCACACCTATACAACAGTGGCCTGTAGTCAGTAATATCACACCTATATAACAGTGGCCTGTAGTCAGTAATATCACACCTATATAACAGTGGCCGGTAGTCAGTAATATCACACCTATATAACAGTGGCCTGTAGTCAGTAATATCACACCTATATAACAGTGGCCGGTAGTCAGTAATATCACACCTATATAACAGTGGCCTGTAGTCAGTAATATCACACCTATATAACAGTGGCCTGTAGTCAGTAATATCACACCTATATAACAGTGGCTTGTAGTCAGTAATATCACACCTATATAACAGTGGCCGGTAGTCAGTAATATCACACCTATATAACAGTGGCCTGTAGTCAGTAATATCACACCTATATAACAGTGGCCGGTAGTCAGTAATATCACACCTATATAACAGTGGCCTGTTGTCAGTAATATCACACATATATAACAGTGGCCTGTAGTCAGTAATATTACACCTATATAACAGTGGCATGTAGTCAGTAATATCACACCTATATAACAGTGGCCTGTTGTCAGTAATATCACACACATATAACAGTGGCCTGTAGTCAATAATATCACACCTATATAACAGTGGCCTGTAGTCAGTAATATCACACCTATATAACAGTGGCCTGTAGTCAGTAATATCACACCTATATAACAGTGGCCTGTAGTCAGTAATATCACACCTATATAACAGTGGCCTGTAGTCAATAATATCACACCTATATAACAGTGGCCTGTAGTCAGTAATATCACACCTATATAACAGTGGCCTGTAGTCAGTAATATCACACCTATATAACAGTGGCCTGTAGTCAATAATATCACACCTATATAACAGTGGCCTGTAGTCAGTAATATCACACCTATATAACAGTGGCCGGTAGTCAGTAATATCACACCTATATAACAGTGGCCTGTAGTCAGTAATATCACACCTATATAACAGTGGCCTGTAGTCAGTAATATCACACCTATATAACAGTGGCCTGTAGTCAGTAATATCACACCTATATAACAGTGGCCTGTAGTCAGTCATATCACACCTATATAACAGTGGCCTGTAGTCAGTAATATCACACCTACATAACAGTGGCTCGTAGTCAGTAATATCACACCTATATAACAGTGGCTCGTAGTCAGTAATATCACACCTATATAACAGTGGCTTGTAGTCAGTAATATCACACCTATATAACAGTGGCCTGTAGTCAGTAATATCACACCTATATAACAGTGGCCTGTAGTCAATAATATCACACCTATATAACAGTGGCCTGTAGTCAGTAATATCACACCTATATAACAGTGGCCTGTAGTCAGTAATATCACACCTACATAACAGTGGCCTGTAGTCAGTAATATCACAGCTACATAACAGTGGCTCGTAGTCAGTAATATCACACCAATATAACAGTGGCTCGTAGTCAGTAATATCACACCTATATAACAGTGGCTTGTAGTCATTAATATCACACCTATATAACAGTGGCTCGTAGTCAGTAATATCACACCTATATAACAGTGGCTTGTAGTCAGTAATATCACACCTATATAACAGTTGCTTGTAGACAGTAATATCACACCTATATAACAGTGGCTTGTAGACAGTAATATCACACCTATATAACAGTGGCTTGTAGTCAGTAATATCACACCTACATAACAGTGGCCTGTAGTCAGTAATATCACACCTATATAACAGTGGCTTGTAGACAGTAATATCACAGCTACATAACAGTGGCTCGTAGTCCGTAATATCACAGCTATAACACAGTTGCTTGTAGTCAGTCATATCACACCTATATAACAGTGGCCTGTAGTCAGTCATATCACACCTACCGTATTTTCTTGAGTATAGTGCGCACCCGTGTATAATGCGCACCCCCCTCTAGCGGGTTCAATATTTTGAAAAAAAAGAAATTTGAATATTATGCGCAGAAAAAAATTACACCGTACCCTTTCAGCGAAGTCCGGCAAACGAACGGGTGATGAGAAACTTCGTCAGTACAAATTCGAAATTTGAGATAAAAAATCACCAGACATGTTAATTTACGGATTAAATAGTATTTATTGTTCTGCTAGGCATTGTTTTATATCCAGGGATTAAGATTACCTTGTGTATTGTCTCGTAACTAAGCCGGAAACAGCAATCAGCTGTACACACGTTTTCTTGGAATCGACCGGTGATTCGGTCAAGACATACCCAATGATATAACTTTATATGATTTTTAATGCAAGGATCGGCAAAAATTGTATCTGAAACTATTTTTTTTATCAGGAATAATATATTCCATTATTTTCTTAATTATATGCAGCCTTTACTTAACATATTTAAAATAATAATAACCCTAAGCGAAGCAGCTGATCGCTATTCCCATGTATTATTTTTTACATGGAACCAATCTGACCAGTCACCGTCAAGGCTCACACGCACATGATCGCGTGATCGCGAGAATTTCATGTTGACATAGAATCGTCAAACAGAAACAAATATGACTTTTAACGAGTCAAAGTATGTCATTTATGATATATGTATCCATTCTCTGTCAACTAAAGTTCGTTTCAAGGCGTCAATAGCGGTATTCTGACCGTGGTTGCTGTTAATAACGGTGAGTTGTGCGATCTTCCGATCGCTTCACACACGATTTCGCCGAAATTAATAAAAACAATATTAAAAGGAATTTTGAATAAAATTAATGAAATAAGTTACAAACATAGTCCAGATATACAAATAACACTTTTTATAGCCAGACAGTGTAATTACATGATTATTTTGCGTAATTCAGTATGGATTTGTTGACATGGTATTCCCGGTGTTTCGTGCTCACGGTAATGTCTTTCCATGGGGGGAAAAAAACATCCAAACTCATAATTTGTGTATAATGCGCACCCCCTTCCACACAGCTGTGTTTTTTGGAAAAAAAGTGCGCACTATACTCAAGAAAATACGGTATATAACAGTGGCTCGTAGTCAGTCATATCACACCTATATAACAGTGGCCTGTAGTCAGTCATATCACACCTATATAACAGTAGCGATGAGGATATGGTGACATGCAATCAATCTAGTCTCTGAGTCTTATCACCCAATCTTTTTGGCCATCTCTTATGAGGAGATCTATTCTGACCTGGAATTCCCATATGTTAAATGGTTATAATGAACTAATCCCAGATGACTTTAATGTCAGAGGAAAAATCTGTGTCTCTTAACTTGTACCTTTTCAAGCAATCCTCTCATGTGTATGATGAAGATACTGAAGACAATCAAACTAATTACGCTTACCCTGTGGAAACCTATGAGATCTGCAAGTGATGAATGTTGGATCTGGCTTGCCCCCAAGAACTGGTAGCCTCCATCGGTGGTGTCCACCAGGAAGTGTTTCACACGGTCTTCACCTCGATAGGAAATGGTGTAACCCCAAACCCGCTCACTAACACGCACAAGGAAGCTGCCTATAGGCCTGTCCCTCAGCTGCCTCTCACAGTCTAACCTTGTTATTATCCCTACAACAGATAACATGTGGGTCCTGAAGTCATGTGTATATTCAAAGGTCTAAGTCATGTATACATGTATAGTAGTTTTATTACATCACAGGGGGTAGCCTAGTGGTTAAAGCGTTAGCTCATCACGCTGAAGACCCGGGTTCGATTCCCGACATGGGTACAATGTGTGAAGCCCATTTCTGGTGTCCCCTGCTGTCATATTGCTGGAATATTGCAAAAAGTGGTGTAAAAGCATACTCACTCCCTCACTATTACATTACAGAAGATAGCTAGACAATAAATCGCAAAGAACAATGAAGAACAGGGCATGGGTTTTTTCACGACAAAACACTGTTCTATCATGACTTCATTTGGGAGATTTGAACATATGCTTAGAATTTGTTGACGTCGTAAATTTGATGATGCTATTTTAGAGAGGGTAGTGAGTTGTCCCCCTTAGATGTTGGCGGGCAACCAAGATAAACACGGAATAAGTGTACTAAAAAGGGCAAGTTACAGCAATCTGTAATGGTAGAAAAGGTAGAGATAACAGCTGTCAATTGTTTGTGTTTGTGAGACTATTTAGGAAATAACAAACTTTACCCCCTGATCTAGCTTTTACAACATTGCCGATATTGGATTGTAATCAGGGAGTCATCATTATTTAAATAAGGGCAAAGGTATATATACCTAACTATAAAAGCTTGTAAATTTGATTAACATCCTTAAAGAGGCTGTACATAATGTTGATATCTCAACTGTGCCCCTTGTGTCTTATGGTACAATAAATACCACCTCCTCATTTGTTTATTTCCTTAGTAAACAGGGTACGTGGTGTGTGAGTGTGTGGGGGAGGGGGGTTGGAGGAGAGGAGGTAATTGGAAGGATAGCACAAAAGAAAACAAATACTTCATGAGACACATAACTTCCACATACATAGATAACAATGAAGGATACAGGATTATCATATCATTTCAAACGGGGAAAACATGGCTGCAAACACTTTGTTCGTCAACTTATATTTACAATAAAATAAAATATATCCCCCAATATTTAATCCACAAGGCATGTTTAGATCAATATGAACAATGTTGATTCCAATCCAGTTCATGTTTTACACCTTAGAGGCACAGTGCGTCGATGATTCTGTGTGTTTTTAAATTATGCACGAAAAAATGTCCGAGTGCGACATCACACCTTTCGTTTATGCACAATTCAATTCTCAAACCAAAACAATAGAGCTTCGCACAGCACAGAGGAAACTTGCTTCAGTCATAATACAAATGTTATGTTGGGGATAACAGTTTCTTAGTAAGTTACAAATTCTAGTACTTTTTTGGGTTGAGGTCCATCCCGGATTTGAACCCACACTCTCAGAGTGAGGCACACTTTGGGTGCTGGCGATTACCCGGTAGGTGCCTTACTCTGGGAGTGTGGGTTCAAAGCAGCGTGACCACGGAAGTGATGACACCATGGAACAGCACATTATTGCTACTTCAGAACATCTAAAGACAACGTAGGGAGGCAGCTCTGTGATGGATGGGCCACTTTAGACGTAGTAATGCAGGATAAGTACACAAAACAAAAAATATCTAGATTTTACTAGATTTTTTAACTTATCCTGCATAACTCCTTAATGCATCTTTCTCAGACAGTACGGCGGAGGGCATATCTTCAGATGGGATTCTCAATAAACTCTCAACGAAGTACAACTTATCAGCAAACAGCGTGAACGATGACCAGACCCAAGTGACCATTCCTGTCAGAAGGAGATGAGAATGTAAGATATATGGGAGGTTCAGGCAACAGTGCCGTAATAGAAACAAGAGTGCTCTGAGAGCACAACATCCCCCGCATGAATTTTTTTAACAAGTTTATATTTTCTTTGTATTTTATGAAATAACAACAGTAGATGGCACTGCATTTGAAATAAAATGTGCAGAACATTTTGTTGGGAGTAATTTTGTCTGAATGCTAATGCCATAAGGATGTAGCTCACCCACAAAAGCCTTATACAAGGAAACTAACTATAGTTATAGTTATAGTTAGATATTGTGATATTCTCTGGAAACTGGAGGAGGAGTAGATTTCATGAAGCTCCGTAAAACAGAGGCAGTAACTCTGTCAAAATTAGTCCAAATGAAATGGGACTGCGATATGTGTATCATCAACATGTCGACATCTTGTGTGTAGAGTGTCAGGGATATTCTCTTAAAGCTGGAGGAGGAGTTGATTTCACAAGCTTAGTACCTCTCTCACAATTAGGCAAATGAAGCTCCGTAAAACAGGGGCAATACCCTGTCAATATTTGTCAAAATGAAATGGGACTGCGATATGCGTGTCATCAACATGTCGACATCTTGTGTGTAGAGTTTCAGGGATATTCTCTGGAAACTGTAGGAGGATTTGATTTCACAAGCTTAGTACCCTCTCTCACAATTAGGCAAATGAAGCTCCGTAAAACAGGGGCACTAACTCTGTCAAAATTTGTCGAAATGAAACGAGACCGCGATATGCGTATCATCAACATGTCGACATCTTGTGTGTAGAGTGTCAGGGATATTCTCTAAAAGCTGGAGGAGGAGTTGATTTCACAAGCTTAGTACCTCTCTCACAATTAGGCAAATGAAGCTCCGAAAAACAGGGGCAGTAACTCTGTCAAAAGTGGTCAAAATGAAACAGGACTGCGATATGCGTATCATCAACATGTCGACATCTTGTGTGTAGAGTGTCAGGGATATTCTCTAGAAACTGTAGGAGGATTTGTTTTCACAAGCTTAGTACCCTCTCCCACATTTAGGCAAATGAAGCTCCGTAAAACAGGGGCAGTAACTCTGTCAAAATAGGTCAAAATGAAACGGGACTGCGATATGCCTATCATCAACATGTCGACATCTTGTGTGTAGAGTTTCAGGGATATTCTCTAAAAGCTGTAGGAGGAGTTGATTCACAAGCTCAGTACCCTCTGTGGGACGGACGGACTGCGCCACGACATAATCCCCCTTCGGCCTTTCTGGCACGGTGGGGGATAAAATAGCGTGAGCTAAGGTCCAGAACTGACGTACCAAGCTGATGCTAGTAGCAAGTAAACACTCTAGTCTGCGATGAGAGGTCGGAAAGGTCAGCTCTGGACATCGGGAGGAGTCACTAGGGCTTGGGAATGACGACCTGCTCAGCAACCACCAAAAGGCCAAAGATGTGGACGTCCTCCAAGGTGATGTCTCGCAGGTAGTGGCAGGCGAAGACCGTTTTCCTTGAGCCAGAAGCAGCCTTCCATAGTAGATCGGATGAGCAGTTGCTGTGGAAAGCCATGGTGGAGGGGATCGATCTGATCTCATGAGGGTTATTGGCCCCAGGAGGATCCAATCAAGAGGCCTAAAAGGCCTGTAGAATAAAGTCACATAACTATAGGGAGATCGTGTTACAGCTCACTTCTGTCTGCGAGGTCGTGGAAACAGGGATGACAAGTATTTGTCACAGAGTGACGAAATATCCCCCGCCTGTACACCATAGTACCAAACATGAAGACAATCCAGCGATTAGTTCTTGAGATATCGCGGCAACACCGTTTTCCAACTCCAAAAGCAGATTTGCCTGCTGTGACCTTGAAAATGGGGTCAAGGTCACCAAAACCGACTGGTGTCTGCGGCGTCTGTATATACACCATAGTTCCAAATATGAAGACAATCCAGTGTTTAGTTCTTGAGATATCGCGGCAACACCGTTTTCCAACTCCAAAAGCAGATTTGCCTGCTGTGACCTTGAAAATGGGATCAAGGTCACCAAAACCGACTGGTGTCTGCGGAGTCTGTATATACACCATAGTTCCAAATATGAAGACAATCCAGTGTTTAGTTCTTGAGATATCGCGGCAACACCGTTTTCCAACTCTAAAAGCAGATTTGTCTGCTGTGACCTTGAAAATGGGATCAAGGTCACCAAAACCGACTGGTGTCTGCGGAGTCTGTATATACACCATAGTTCCAAATATGAAGACAATCCAGTGTTTAGTTCTTGAGATATCGCGGCAACAAACAGGTGGGACGTACGGACGGTCGTGAATACTATATCCCCCGCTTCGCGCTTTCACGCTGCGGGGGATAAAAAGATGTCGTACACCCCGCCGTGCCTTGGAGTGCCAGATAAAACATGTTCAATGCACAAACTGTGCAGAGGAGGAGTTACTATCGACACCCACTATCGAAGAGAGAGCTGGGATGGTGAAGAATCTATCCAGCTGTCCAGGGAGTTAATTTTTGGCTATGAAGTCGCAGCACAGCACAAGATGAACAGCCCCATGTGCCTTGCGCTCAAATCGAACACTGCTGATGTCCAGCAAGTGCAGTTCGCTTACCTGTGCTGTCAAAGCCAGAGCCAAGAGGCCTTCTTGGTAAGGTTGTAAAAGGAAGCTGAGTGAAGGCTTGAGGTTCCGGAATCTTAGTCATCTTACGATATTCTGGGACAGCTAAGACCAAATTTAGGGCCACTAAGTACATCTTGATCATACTGCCTTTTAGGTGCTTCTTGCAGAATAGAAGGAATTCAGCAAAGAACCGAGGTAACGTAGTGGTGGGATCTTGATGTTTATCTTTGCAGAAACATTCAAACGAATGCCACTTGTCGTCGTAGAGGATCCTGGTAGAGGGTCTGTGTGCCAAGGTTATTGGTGCCCTGGCAAAATAGCCCTTGGCAAATGTACCAGGCGTGAAGATGAAACCTGTCTGGAGCCCAATTGAGTAGCCTGCTGTGTGGGTGGATGAGCAGGTTGGGCTAACCTAGAAGTTCAAGTTGGTTGACTATGGACATTTCCATGAGCCACACTAACCAGCTCCTAGCTGGCCACCAAGAAGAAACCAAAGTCAGAATAAGGTTCCGGGTCGACTTGATCTTCTGGAGTACCCTGGGAAGAAGCACAGGTGGCGGAAAAGCCTTTGTTTAGAGGCCTTCCCAAGGGATGCTGTGTGTGTCGATCACCCAAGCCTGAGGATCCGGTACCGGAGATACGTAGGTCAAGATCAGGA